GATGCACCTTTATACAATAAACAACGATTGTTTACTTACTCTGGGCTGATTTTATGCACCTTTATACAATAAACAATGATTGTTTACTTACTCTGGGCTGATTTTATGCACCCTTATACAATAAACAACAATTGTTTACTTACTCTGGGCTGATTTTATGCACCTTTATACAATAAACAATGATTGTTTACTTACTCTGGGCTGATTTTATGCACCCTTATACAATAAACAATGATTGTTTACTTACTCTGGGCTGATTTTATGCACCCTTATACAAATAAACAATGATTGTTTACTTACTCTGGGCTGATTTTATGCACCCTTATACAAATAAACAATGATTGTTTACTTACTCTGGGCTGATTTTATGCACCCTTATACAATAAACAATGATTGTTTACTTACTCTGGGCTGATTTTATGCACCCTTATACAATAAACAACAATTGTTTACTTACTCTGGGCTGATTTTATGGAATAAGTTAGTTTTTACTTCTTATTTCCAGACACACTGTTCTCAAGTGGAACGGCTGGGGCTACAAAGACTCGAAGTTTTACGTGGATGATAAAACCAGAAAAATTTGTTTTGTTGGAGATAGGTAAGAATCCCATGAATCATTACTTTATAAGTCCAAATATTATTGACTTTGTATTTCTAGAGTGTTGGGACTAACGAATTTGTAAATTAAAATATCTCTTCTATAAAAAAATATTGTTCTGGAATGAAAAATAAGTGGCCACTAATTAGTATAGATATTTAATATTATTTTGTACAGATCTCAGGTGTGTAATGTTTGTGAAAGTATTTTTATTTACTGAAAACTTAAAACTTGTGATTTGATAAAGAGGGTAATGTACAGTCGTTTTGGCCAAAATGTTTAAGATTTTAACTGTAAAATAAACTATTTGAAATAAAGGTTTAGGATAAACATAGACATAAATTAAAACAATAAATTATTGGTCTGGCAAACATATTTCTTTTTTTTACATATAATGGCATGGTTATTGGTTTATATTATGTTTTTCAGGTATTGTAACTTTTAGCATTTCATTAAATATTGGCTGTTCTTGTTGCAAAGGGCAAAAGAAACATGACAATAAAAAAGATATCATTCTGGAGCCGTTTGAGAGAATGAGGGAAATACTGGCCATAAACACTATTTCTAGGAACAAAATAAGTTTAATTTTTAATGTAAGTGGATTGAGGTGTACTGAACTTTCCATTCACTGTATTGTTTTTATGTTTGTATCTATTGAAACACATACAGAAATTCGTTCGTATACAATACAAATACCTTTGTAGCATAAAATAGACTTAGGCTGATAAAAGTTTGTGTATTGACAGAATGCTCCATTATTACTGGACTTTCCACTTCTTAAGAATTTGAATTTCAATTCTGTTTAAAAAGTTTATGTTGTGTAATTGTTAGGGTTAGGATGATTTACGATAACTCGGTAATATAGTATTGAACACTAGTCACAATAATAAAATTGCATTGTAAAAAGTATCGTGGCTTATTCTGAAATAACAATATTATATTAATTTCAGCATTTTTTTTTTGTCATAAATAAATAAATGATAACCCATTTTCTTTTAAATTTCATGAAAAAAAAAGTATATATCAAATCTGGGAATGTTGGAGGTTGTGCCATTTGAAGGAAGGCAAGAGGCAGTTGTCCACTTTTGTTTCATACAACTATTTGATCTTAGGAGCACTACATGTATCTAAAATGTATAGTTTGTAAACTTTTTTTTTTATTTTACCAGTCTGCTCTTACAAGTCCAATAAAGTCCTTTGCTTCACAGTAAATTTGTGAGCATGAACCTGCCTCAACGGACTGTTAAATGTGGAAGAATTAATGATTTGGATGTGATTTTTTTCCATCGTCTATGCAGCAAGTAAAAACTGCTTAGCAACTCTTGTAAGCTGTATGTGTGATGATTTGGATTGCTTAGCAACTCTTGTAAGCTGTGTGTGTGTTATGATTTGGACTGCTTAGCAACTCTTGTCCAATTCTGTCCCACATAATGGATGATATTCTTACTGTCCAACCTACAGATAGAACATTTGCAAGAGACCTGAAAGGGGTAATCAGAAATGACCTGCAATTAAAAGAGATGAATCATATTCTTGGATCCAAGGTTCAAGACTGCATACTAACAACCACAGGCCTACTGTTGCCCACTTGGTCAAGAAATGTACAGTATAATCAGAAGAAGCAGGGAGGTTTCTGGGGAAGAGGCTTGGATCCTTGTAAAAAAAGTAAACCCAAGTGGTCTGAATGATTTACTGCAACAGGTAATGAAAAGGAAGAGGCTTGGATCCATGTAAAAAAAGTAAACCCAAGTGGTCTGAATGATTTACTGCAACAGGTAATGAAAAGGAAGAGGCTTGGATCCATGTAAAAAAAAGTAACCCAAGTGGTCTGAATGATTTACTGCAACAGGTAATGAAAAGGAGGAGGTTTGGATCCATGTAAAAAAAAGTAAACCCAAATGGTCTGAATGATTTACTGCAACAGGTAATGAAAAGTTATGATTTTTATGATTACATGAACTGGCTTTATTCTGTGTTGGTGTGTTTTACTGGACAGTTATTTGTAATATTTTCAGGAAAGATAGTAATATTAATATGATGTAGCTTTTTATTAAAAACACCTAGATTAATACGCTAAGATTAGTATTTAAAGAATGCAGTTCACAAGACAAAAATAATCTCAATATGAAAATGAATAACATCCTACAACTTAAACTTGTTTTTAGATCGTAAGGAGGAATTCACCTTAGTCTTCAAAATGGCAAGAGGCCTTCCTCCAGTAGAATGGTGGAGAAAAAGAAGCACAATGTTCATTGGCTTAGAATTATCTCCCGTTAATCAAATGATAACAGTTAGTAGCAGTGGCCTGGTGGTCAATAATATTCAGGGTTTAACCAGAGACTGTGAATGTTTAATGCCATAACTTTACCTTAAATAATGCAGAATTAACCATTTGAAGTCAGCTTACTCTTTTTTTTTTTAGGATGAAAATCAGGAGACTGGGTTTCTCTGTAACTAGCGTAGAAAATCCCCTAGTGTGTCTAATATGACAAACTAAACGTTTTGTTGTGAAAGAAGCACAATTTAATTGCCAGGCTCAATGGGTTTTTTTTTTTTTCTGTTTACGGGGAAAATAATTCTAATAAATATTTTAAGTTTCATGAAAAAAACAACAATTTCTATTAACTATAGTATCCCAGTCACCAACTTTTGCAATAATCACAATATTTTGTCATATAATTATGTTTTTCAGAGATTTTTCACTATCATATAATCCCCGGTATCTGTTTTATATTTCTGTTTGGTAAATTGGTAGGTATCCTATAGGAAATCAAGTGCTTCCACTGTTTAAGTCATGGGTGGAGACGACACTTGGGGTTGACTTGGATGTCCGACATCATTCACAGGTCAGCACAGAAGCCCCTTTTAACCAAGATTCTTTCTTTAAAGCTCATTTTAGGTGTACAGTTGTAATTATTTGGTATTTCGTATTAAATTGAGCCAGAAGATTAATGTTTACCCTTTTATTTTGTTTATTGTACTGTTGTATGGTCTGGTTATGTTGTTACAGTGTTTCTTCTGTTAATTCAGCAGTTGTACATTATTTAATGGAGAGTCTGATTTAAAAAAATAAATATATATATATATGTTGATAACCCTTCAGTAGCACTAACATCTTTCTGGTTGAATGAAATTAAAATGTAAACAAAAGTCTTTTGTTATCAGAATAATCTAGCCCAGCATTTCCCAAACTTTTGTCATCCTTCAATAAATATGGTTTCTTGCATGGACCCCTCTTTTTTTTCTCGTCTTTTTGAAAAATTAATGAAAGAGTGAGCTAAGTGAAGAGATATAACACACGTGAAAATGTTACATGTGTGGTACTTATTATTATCATTATTAAAAATTATTAAATGTTTAATTTTGCATTATTGGGCTATTGACTCTACCCTAATTGCTTGCCCCACAAGGGATGGCACCCCATATTTTGGAAAATGCTGATCTAGCCTTCTTTCTGAGATGAACGTGATATTCTTGTAAATATTTTATTGTTTCTCTTAAGGAAATGTTTATTCTATAAGGGTATTATCAATACTTTATTTAGCCGTTACTTTCTCTGTTACAAACAATATACTGTAAAAACCTGATGGTAGGGAAAAGAAATCTGATCTGACTGGACTTAAACCAAATACCTCTCACATACACTACTTCCAATATCAATACTGTACCAAGTTACTAGGACTTTACGCAAAAAAACTGGTAAATATTCATACAGATCATTACTTTAAAGTACCCAGCCTTCAAAGCAACATGTTAAAACTGGAACAAGATTGCACAACATCTGAATCACTGCCCTAATGTTTTACAGCTACACTATCTTAGGTCAGTTTTTTCAGAAAACTTTCTATTCTAGGATACTATAAAATATTATTAAAACTTCATTGAAGTTTATTGTAAAAGATGAATATTTCCTGCACTGTATGTCTATCTTGAAGTTTATTGTAAAAGATGA